AAAGTCCCATAAGAGATGGGGGGTGGGGAGGAATATTTCAAAAGCAAGGAAATTAAATGAAGCCATTCATTACAGTTCCCATATCTCCCATACCTCAGCTGAGCTCTATATCAAGGGTCCTGGCCAGGTCCTACTGCAATTAGGGGCAAAGCTCTCATTAACTCCAGTGGGAGCAAGCTCAGACCTGCTCAGGTCCAGCTCACATTTCCTAGTTTGGCTGGAATCAAAGGGACTTTTGCTGGGAATGAACCAAGTAGGATCCGACTCAGAATGAAGCAAGCGACTGCCAATGCACAGGGAGGCAGAATTACGTGCTGCAAGAGCCAAAGGTGAAATCCTGCCCTTGCTGAGGAGGGTGGGAGATTTGCCATGGATTCCACAAGAGCCAAAAATTCATCCAATAGCTGTAAATATCCTGACATTGGTGCTTGGAAGCTCACGGCCATAATGTAGCTTTTAGTGATCTCAGATTTAAAATGCAACGATCCACCCTCCAGGCGCCTGCACTAAATTTACTCAAATTCAGTGCAGGTTGGTCCAATTAAGGCCCTCCCTCCCTCCCCTACTCACTTGTCTACGCCACACCAGGAGGGTCTTGGGGAGCACTGTACCAAGATACATCATGCCCCCTCAACATGCCCCACCTCTGGCACGGGGAGCAACGTAATGTCTCAGATGTCCCAAAAACTCCATCTGCCCCAGTGACCTGCATCAGGGCACCCCCTTAAGAACTATACTGAACTTCCTCTTAAAACTAGCTGGGTTCCTTGTACATTTTTGCTCTCCAAGGCAGGGTCCAAAGAACCACCCTCACTCTGCATTGGGCAAAGTCTGGAAAACACACTGACAGCACTCTCAGGTGTCTCTCACAAAGCCTGTTTGGACCATAGAGAGCAAAAGACATGGGAGAAAGCCTATCAACCTCAAGTCCTGTACCTTAGACTAGATCAAGCTTAAGAACTTAGGACCTGATTTCTCGAGGGATCTAAAAGATGACTGAGGCCAGTTTCTATTCCACCTCTTACATAAGCGGATTTAGCCACACAAGTGCAATTCTGTTCCTCCCTGCTTGACACCCTGAAACACAGTTCATGTAAGAGATGGAGGGGTCCTCCCACCCCCCACTTCTTTGTGACCCAATATTAAGGGTCAGATGATGGTGTGTTACAAAAGTAAATTCATTAATGGATTCTCAGGGACGTGAACAGAGCAGACTACAATCGCACCTAGGTGTCGATTTAGATGCCCAATAAGTAGATAGAATCTAGCCCTGGTGTCCAGGGGAATTAGGCATCTAAATCCCTGTAAAAAAAATCCAGCCCTTGATATTATATATAGTAACTACTTCATATAGGGACTGGTTCCTTCTCAAACAGGCACCTGTGTTTACAGCTTCTTTAAGGAGATCACGGTCTTAGCCAGGCTTTTATGCTGCTTCTGATCGAAAATGTTAATTTGCAAAAGTAACATATTTGGAACACAGAGAGCAACGCGTCCTGTGATTGTCTGTATTTGGCAGGAGGTGCTTAGCCACACTTGCAAGAAGTCAGGCAGATGCCAGGGCAGACTGGCACCATACCAGCTGTGCCACCCTGCCCTAACTTTTGCCTACCTATATTTGTGAAACTTAAAAAAAAGGCAGATGAGCAGGAAGTGCAACTGCCCCGAGTTTACCTGGCACAGAAGAGCCCCAAGAAAATGGAACCGGCTTGTGTTTCTTTAAAAATAATGAGCCAAATCCTCAGGTGGTGGAAGCAGCCTGGCTCCACTAAAGTCATTGGAGATGTAGCTTCAGTTCACAATCCGTCTCAGTGCCTCTCTTCCCTTGCTTCTCCTGACAGTCTACGGACCACAGCAGGGATTCTGCAGTCAGACCATCTCAGGCACAAGGAAGAAGAATTGGCAAAGTTGTTCAGAATACAAAGAATGAGATCCTGCAGTCCCTGGATCTCTGTTGTTGATCTCACTAAGGAAGGGCATGATCTGGCAACACCCTCATTAAGCCAATGGACCGCAGGGAGCGGGCTATGTCTGAACTCTGCTCTGCCTTCTCGTTAAGGCAGTGGTTCTCAACCTTGGCAGATTTGTGGTCTCACTCAGAAAACACCAGCTCTTCATTTTCGCTCTTTTTTTTTTTTTGACTAGAGAAAAATAACAGAGCACTTTTTCTGTTACAAAAAAAGCTCAGAGACCACTGCTATGGATTCCTAATTGAAATGCCTGGGTTTATCTGAGTGAATCACCTTTGTAAACCTAGCAGTGTTAACACTCTGTAGCACCCCAAGCATCCTTGAAAGGATCTCAAGGTATCCCAGGGTGCTGTGACATCCTGGTTGAGAATCACTGCGTTAAGGCAACAGTCTACGTTGGGGTCCCATGGACCCTGGGAGGGAAAGAGCTATTAAATAAGAACAGGGAGCACCAGGTTTGGATGCTGCTTTGGGATGTTCACTCCTCAGGCTAGTGAGTGCTTGAAGTATTCAGACTATAAAGAGTTAACTGTGCTGTTGTTTTTCTAACCCAAACCCTGATACTATAGCATGGGAGAGGGAGGGCTGGTGGGGGCATCTTGGTAGCTAGCTGACCAGACCTTCAAGTGCCTCCCCATCTCTCTGCCCTCCACTTGCCATTACGCAGAGAAGAGAGGAGGTGAAAGGGTGAGGACAATATTACTCAGAGATGCATGGAAACCTCTCCTCTTCCTATCTAATTGGAGCAGCTAACACCCGGTAACAAGGGAAGCTTGTCCCTGGATAGAATGTGGCCCACTTTTGCAGGGTGCTGATGGGGAAAGCCAGAGCTAACAAGCCGCAGTGCTATGAGCTGATAAAGAGGTTAACCTAAAAAAAAACCAGGCTGACCAGGGGTGAACTATCTGATAAGAACAAGGTCTCTGAAACAGCTTCAACCGCCACAACCCCTGACCACACAGTCCAGAAAACACCATGTTACTCAGAAGCTGGGTGTCCCACAGAGCCATGTGACAAAGCCAAGAGACCCTCCGGCTTTCAGACTGGAGTCATTGTTAAAGAAGCTGTTCTTAATTACAAAACATGCTTCACGGGAACAAACACGCTTCATGAGCTGATCGGCACATGCAGTGATAAGATGGGACTGGAGTTGTTTAAAAGGAACATGCAGAAGCCCAAAATGAAGTGTGGGGGTGTCTCTTCTGCTGCTGCTTATTGCATAAGAGAACTAATCATCCCTAGGCAAATGGCCCTCAGTAACAGAGACAACAAAGTTGTCCATGTCCCACCTTTTGGGCAGGAATCATGCAGCTTTTAAACCCCAATATTTAGAGAGTATGGAAATAATCAGTTCAAGGATCCAGGATGCCTACATTGAATCCTCATATCCCTAATCATGCCTGCCTATATCAAAGCCCACCAACTACCCCGATAAACCTCATCCCTAACTTTCTCCCAAACCCTGATGTTTCCTTTAAGCTACTTCTCAGTAAAAACACTCCCTTCCTACCCTACCCCACCCCACCCATCTTCTGTTGTCAAATAAAAGGTGGGTTCACTTGGAGATAAGTGGGAGGAAGGAGATGGGATTGGATGTTGCAAAGCCAAGGATGGCAGAGAAAGAGAAAGCAGCTGAGGGAAGACATAAGGATGGGATTTAGGGAGTAGAAGATGGAGAGGGATAGATCCATAATAGACAAAAGGCATGAGACATGAGACTGGTAGGTAAGAGAACAGCATGAGGATGGAAGTAGTATGTCCCTGCTAGATTACGTCTGTCCTTGTCATTCGAGTAAGTGGGAAGATCCTAAGGTGGGAAGGGAGAGGCAGAGGAAGGAGCGGAGATAAAGGGACAAAAAAGGTGCGGTTTGCTCTTGCAGGACTCAGCACAGTCAGAGCAAGAGCAGAGACAAAAATGGCAGAGAGTGAAAGGCCTTGGATTGGGTGAGGCATCAAAGATGTAAGGAGAGAAGGCAGAGACCCAGGAGTCAGAAAAGCAGGAGTGTGGAAACAGCACAGGAGTCCTGGTGGCTGGTGGAACAGATGCCAGGGAAGACGCGAGGATGGCAAGATGAGGAGGAGATCAAAAGTGATGGACTCTGGAGGTGGACAACAGTTGCTGTTTAACCCAATCCCACCATCCCCAATGCTTTCACTCTCCTAAAGCAGCATCTCTTTGAAGAAGATGTTAGAATCCAAGAGTGAGAGGGGCTCTCAAATTGCTCAAGCTGATCTTTTAGGTATCATTTTATGGTGTAACTAAGGGCAGGCAAGTGAGGAAAAAGCCCTGAGCACTGCCTAAGGGAGGATACCAGAATGTAGCCAGGCGCAGCACCCCCTCCATGACTTCTGCCCCTGCCCCTGCCTCCCATCACTTTTTCCATGCAGTGGCCCTGGCAGCCAGGTGCAGCTCTGGGCACAAGACAGGTGAGGAGATGTGAACAACAGCCACAGCACTGGTGCTGACCAGGGTTCACTCCCACAGGGGGAAGTGTTGGTTAACCTCTCTCCTTTTTTTTTGCCAAAGGATTTTGGCTTTTGCATCAACACTAGACATGCCTTTCAGCAGTGGCTTCCACATTAACCCCCACAGCAGTGGCTCACCCTGCTGCATCTCTGTTGGTCACTGCCCCAGTTCTACGGGCAAGCACAGCCCAGGGCACAGAACTACCCAGTTATGCCTCTGGGATGAATTACTCATGTGATGCCAAGTCCAAAATAGGCCTTTTGACCATCTGCCTGATGGATATCAAATGCCCCTGAGATTTCCTTCCTCCCAGGAAAACTCTTTTATTCCCCAACCTCTTGGTTTTCCCAGCAGAGTCCTACCGCAGCTTCATAAGTGCACTCAGCTGATTGTCTCCAGTGTCCCTCAGAAAGGGGGACAAGATTTCCTGTTTCCCTTCGCACCTGTAAAAGACATGCTTAGATTTCCCCAAGTCAAAAACACAACGTTAAGGAAAATCAAGTATCATGGCCTGAAGTGTCACATCTAAGCAACTTGCTCGACAGCCTTTGAAAAAGGGGTACCTTCCGATTCCAGCTGGTCCAGTCCATAGGTTACGGCCGTGCTGATCCTCCTCACAGATGGAACAACAGTCCTCCTTACAGACAACATCACTGAAGCTGGAGTTGCCAAGACCGTGGTCCTACTGGTGGTCTCCTCCGTCTGCATTCCCATTCCAGCACGGGTCGCGTCAGGTCCAGCAAGGGCAGGGACAGCCTTCTCGTTGGAGATGGTGACCGGCTCTGTTAAAGGAGAAGCAATGCCCACCAGGATGGTTATCACAAAGTCGTAACATGAAAACCTCAGTAACGATTAGGGAATTCGTTCTTACAGGGAGGCTTCACTTTAAACAAAAAAATGTATTGAACACCATCTTTTTTATGCACAAAGCTCCCACGATGAAATAGTACCGGCTCCGCCAAAATGACAAACTGCTCCTCAGAGAGAAGTCTCACAGCACAGAGACCTCCCGTAACGAGACTTCTGTTATTTTTTTTGTACTTTATGCCACTGCGAAGGGTGTCAGTCGCTAAACTGGGGCAAGATCAGAGCCTTTCAAAGGCATAAATCAAGTTGTGAACCAAGAGACAGCTGGAATTGTTTATTGTAAAGAGAAAAGATTACAAATGATTAATTTATAATTAAACGTCAGAAGTGAATTAATTACAGTGACACTCTTAGAACAGAGTCCTTTTTTTTTCCCTACAGAACATCCTCACTCAAAATGATGTAACTTGAATGGCAATTTGCACACTACAGAACACCAGTGTATCAAGGCTGCCCCCAGGCCCTCTCGCCATGGGTGAAATGTCATTGTGTTCCTCTGCCTTAACCAATCCATTAGATGCGTTGGTTTTCCTAGTCCTGCCAAGCTAGCCTGGTAGGAAAGAAAGCCTGTGCTGTAGTCGTAGTGACTGTGCCACCATGTACAGCTCCCCGGGTGATGCCTGAAAAAATTCTGGTTGAGTGGGCAACGGTTTCTCCTGCTCCGCCAGAATCAAACCCCAAAGGACTTAGAAAGCCTATCAGGAAACAGAGAATAGCTACAGTAATTACATCCCATCAAAAATCTGCCCATTGAATTCAAAATACTCAGTTCCACGACAAAAAGACTTGTAACAATCATCTCTCCCATTGGGCTAGAATCATTCTCTACGCTCAGCACCAGGGCAGGAGGCACATAGCTGCATGGCTCAAAGAGAAGCTCCTGTCTGGGCTCCAGCAGGAGTTGCGGGGAACATCTGCTCACTCTTCATCCTTCCCTGTCTTTTTGTTTCCCCAAATCCTTGCTTTTCCCTATATACCAGACCAACATGGGGGCAGCACTTATCTAGCAGGCATGGGCAATCCTTATACCTCTGTGCTCCCCACTAGGGCTGCATTAAAGATGACATGTTATCTCAAACTCTAACTTAGCTACCTTCACCTTGTACATAAAGCCCTGCAAGGAGTCTGTACCTGAAGAAGAATGGAAAAAACTCACTTAGGGTTTTGTAGGCCCAAGCCAACACCATGAAACTACTCTCTGAAATGAGCTACATACTGACGCAGCTCTTGGAGCATAGGGATTGTGCCCACCCTACAAGTTCCCCCAGTGATGAAAAAAAAATCAAACATTTTTGTCTCACGTTGGGACCCCCACACTTCTAAAAAAACCAAATAACACTGCCATGTTTTAAGATGGTGGTGGCCAAAGCACATTATAACCTGGCTGATTCTTCTGAGATGAAAAAAAGAGGAAAAAAAACAATTATGATCATGTTAGAACAGGTCTTTAGCTTCAGTATCTACCAAGTTTCAAACCTGGTACTAATTTAGTTATAAACAGATGTTTCCCTGTTCACAGAGGCAAGGAAAATGTTCCTGCACAGTGTGGCCACAATCAGGTCAACCAATCATATTTAAACACAGCAACTTTGATGGTGTAGATGGGTTCTCCAAAACAGCAGAAGCTGCAGAACCAGCCCCTGGAGGAGAATTGACAGCAACTTCATTACCCTAGCAAAGCAAGGTCTTTTTTGCAATGAGACTAGCAAGCTGATAAGAAGCTACAGGAGAACTCTGTGTTAAATTCATTGTCACATCCTAAACAACAAAACTCCTAATACTTCCTTTCTCTTGTGGAAAAAATAAATTTTGCATAAAAGTGGAGGCACCAAAGCCTACCTTCAACTTCTGGAGTTTTTTCAGGAGACAAATGGGAGGCAGTGGAGGAGACGAGAGTTGCTGGATAGTCTGCACTCAACAGCTGGGTGACACCAGAGACATCTGGTAGCTGGGTTGCCAGCTTACTTTTCTCCTCTGTCGCACTTGTGGCCCCATGCGTAGCAAGGTCTGCTGGCGTCAGGACAGGCAAAGCAGCATCGGTTTCTTGACTGACTGTCGTTTCCTGAGTAACACCTACAGCGGTAACATTTGTCAGCACTGATGCCTTGTACACGAACTGAGTAATTATTGTGATCAAAAGCATGCAGCAAATAGGAGCAGCTGTTTGAGGGACCAGAAAACCTCGGCGCATTAGCATCTCTGAAATCAAGTTGTAAACAGTGGAAACAGCTACCCCCAAGATGCTATGAGGAAGGTGCAGAGTAGGGAGAGGTGAAAAGGAAATACCGACTGGGAACAACTAGGGGGATTTTTATTCCACAAGGGTCTGCTTCTGCCACAGTTACCCCACAAGCCCCACTGGGATAATAAAGCCCTGAACAGGTACTGAGCTTTGCACAGGACTTCATGCTGCATCAGGACAGAACATACCACTCAGCATAAGCATGCTTAGTTGACCAGGCTTATGTGACTGCAAGCAGCTCGATGATCATCTCTGGGACATCAGGGGTTTTGCTGAAGTCTTCAGTGAAAGGCAGCAATAAAACACCACAGGTCCTATTTTTTACCCATCACTAGTTTTATCATTTGAGACAATCCCTTGATCAAGAGAACCAGCTCAGTTGTCCAAAGTGACTATAGGATTCAACTGATTACTTGACCCAACATTCACACAACAGCAGACCCAATACACAAGATTTTTGGTTTGTTTTTTCCTTTCCTAGAAGCAAGGGTGGGGCTTGGGTGGGTTTCGTTTTTTTTTCTGTTACAGTAGTTTGTACAGCACCTAGCACCATGGCGTCCTAGCTTCCTAGGTGCTATGGCAATACAATAAATGACAGCAGCATCCACTGGTCACTACATGAAAAAGCAATTCTGCACTGATCTGGGGAAGTAACCTGCTTTCCTTCACAGGGTAAAGGTATTACACTCCCAACCCACTGCATGGTCTCCCTGCTTTCTCCAGAATGCAAAAGCCATGGCAGTAGCCAGAGAGCTAGACAAGCCCCGTGCTATCCCTCCCTATGCAGTTTTGCCACAGTGAGCTCGTCTGAACCTATAACAAGGGCCCAGAGCTATCTGCAGCATCAGAGAACCTGCCCAAGAATTGGACCTGGGCCACCAAATTCCAGGCTGTCTGCAAAGCACTACAGCAGCAGCAGCTGCCGCTGCACTCACCCTGGGACAAAGGGGCTGAGAGCCAACAATTTTTCCATTCCTGCATCATCAGGGACAGTGTCAGTGGCTCCAGGCTGATTGTTATCTGCTCCCATTACTACGGTGAAACCAATGCATTGAGCCTTCGACTTCTTCATATCACAGGCTGCAGATGCTACAGAGACAGCTGTCCCCAGTTATCAGATGGTTCAGTGCGTTCTACAGCACTGAGTTTCAGACAGCAGCTTTCGCAATTTAAAAGCAGGTAAGACCACAGAAGCCAACTGGAGTGACACCTGCTTATACTAGGGCGGGATCTGGCCTTTGCATTGACATATTGCTAACAGAGAGGGCCTCCCTTTCCTAAATGAGTCAGAAATCCCTACTGCATGAGGCAGGGAACACAGAAATACAATAAATCCACATGGAAAGAATGACACTGCCAGCCAGAATTTCTGATGTGCCCCAGAAACCTGCAGCTTTTTTTTTTTTTTTTTAAAAAACCTTTAAGAAAAAAGGGGGGGGTTGTTTTTTTTAAAAAAAGGTTTCTAATGTCTGCTCCCCTGAGGGTGTTTATGAGGATCCCACAGAGAGCAGCTTGTCTGGAGACACAGCCTTCACCCCCAGATGTCTGTCTGCTATGCCTCTACTCTCCTGCCCTTGTTGGATGCACGCTCTGCCCAGGTGTGAGGAAGAGCACCTGGGTTGGCTCAGGGCAGGAGGGAGCTCTGGTGCTAGGGCAGGAGGCGGCAGCTGATCCACAGCTGATCCACAGCCACAAGACTGGAGCGTGCAGAAGTGTCATGGGGAAACCATGCTAGAAACAAATGGTGCTCCCAAATGCAATCTTCACTTTTACTACAGCACATGCGAACATGTTGGCAGTGCCTCTTTAAACATTTCTACTGCAGATACACATTAGATCCTAGGTACGGCTCACAGCCTTTTTTTGTTCCCATTTCTTCCTTGATTTCAAGGAGGCAGATCAATAACAAACAGCACTTCTCCCAGTATGTGCACTGGAGCGCAAGCACAGGTTATTCTGGCAGCTGTTGGCAAGTTACCTTTTAATGTGTTTGCTAGAGTCTGGAAGACGTCAGATTGCGTATCAGCAACGGCCTCTGGCAATGGTAGAGAGACACGTTCCCTCTCCTCCACGGGTTCTGTATTTTCCACTGTGTTTGCGGCAGTCGCTTCATCTGCAGTCAGGGTGCTGAGGACAGAAACCACTGTTTGGTCAGCAGAAGCTGTTGACATCTCTTTTCCCTGCACAGATATCGGGCTTGGCCCAGCAGGATCATTTTCATCTAGGTTCACAGTAGTTGCATATGCAGAAGCTGTGAATGGCATCAGTCTTTTCATATCCTTCTCCTCAAGGTCTCCTGCTGCTGTCTGAGGTGGCTCTGTTAACATGTGGTCTAGCTTTATCTCCTCCTGTTTTGTGCCCCTCTCCTGGCTAATGTTCCCTACTTTTGTATCATCCCAGTCATCAGTCGGTGCAGGGACAGCCGGAGGGACTGTGACCATGCTAGCTGTAGCATGGAAGCCCCCGTGCCCGTTGTCAGGTACTGCTTCCAAATTCAGGGAGGCATCTGTGAATAGAGAAGAGGGTTTTGCAGTGAAATCAGGGCCCTCTGCTGCTGTCCACTGCAAGGGACTGGCTGCATTTGGCACCAGTGTGCCAGGCTCGGATTCAGCGGTTTGATCAACAAGAGGTGCAGGGATTGCCAGGAAGTCATCCGCCACATCTAAGGTTCGGGAGCTGGGGAGCAAAGTGGGCATTTCATCACTGCTCAGCTGGGCTGTCACCGACTGCTCCACGTTCCCTTCAGCCTTCTTCTCTTCTGTAGCAGCCGTCATGAAAACCGGGTTATTTAGATAGGCAGAAAAGCCACGTCCTGTTTCATTGCTCTCCCCTACTGTTGTCTTGCTACCAGCGCTGCTGATGTTGGGATTTAGGGTAGTCACCGCTGTTGTGAGCATGGCCTTCATAGGTCCATTTTCACTCAGCTCTTTGTCTGGATTAGTGGGGCTAAGCTCCTTTTTATCTGTAGCGACCACTGATATCGTAGGGGTGTAAACATCCAGGCTCTTACTGTCTGGGAAAACATTACCGCTAAGACTGGTGTGCTGTGTCTCTCCTCTTGCAGTGAAGCCTTTGTTTAATGATGTCCCAGGTGGCTTCGCTGACACTCCAGATGGCTCTTCTGAGATGGGATCACTGGTGGTTTGCTCAGAGAGGCCAAGGTTATTTTCCAAGCTTTGTGTGTTCAGCCTGTCTTTTAACTCGTTCCCTGCCAGGGCAGTTTGCTCTACCTGCACCGAGTCTCTCTTCTCCAGTCTCTGGAAGGCCAGGCATTGCCAGCTAGAGGATATGAGCAGGATGATGCAGGTGACCAAGCAAACCTGAAATCTGATTGATCTGCTCATATCGGAACCAAGCTGGGCACAGAGCCTTGCAGAGGGAACGATTCCAGGAAGCGAGTCCTAGGGAAAAAGAACCAGAGATGCATATTTATGCCTTTTAGTCATTGTACAGGAATATGTTCAGTTAAACTCAAATATGGACAAATGGTTGAGGTGATTTCTTGAGCAGCCGTCCTAGCAGTTTGTGGTGAAGCTGCTTGTCAGGAATTTGCCTGATTCTTTTCACCCTGTTTTAAACACGACACAATTCACTCATCCCACTGCACCCAGGGGCTCATTTCACTGGTGTGCGCTCTAGTCCTCAGAGACAGCAGCTCGCGAGTTCTCGTCCTGATGCTGACATTGACCTATTCTCAGCGCCGTGCCAGCCACTCTCTCAGGGGCGTGGTGAGGAATAACCTGTCAGACCTTGATCCACAACAGCATGAAAACGTGTGCGATTTTGAGAGGTCAGTAGCCCTGTTAACTTGAGTGAAACTGCTCATCCCGATCTCATTAGCTTCCTGGTTCCAATCTACTCCTATCTGTTGCACCCCGCTCTGTCTAGGTGTGGACCCTAACCCTAACCCTCATGCTAACCCAACCCTCCTTGGGCTGCCTGTGTGACAGCAGGGAGGTCAGAGGTCCTGATACAGTCAGAGGCAGGGGCTGACAATCAGCTGATTGTTAGCCCCTGCAAGCACCCACTTTCAATTTGCTGATATAGGTGGTGAACTGGGATTATAATCTCAGGTTTCTCCTGCACTGACGAGCAGAAAGGGTACCATTGGGACCTGATCCCCAACCCCAGAATCATGCCTCCTGCCATACATCTTTGAATGAATGCATGCTAGGGGCCCAAATCTCTACTGAGCATGTGCAAACTATGATTTTTCAAAAACTCATGGCTTGGCTACATTGGGATAGATTTGCACAAGGACCAAAGGCACATTCCCAACACAAAGGCCACTCCTCTGCCCAATATTGAGCCCCCTGCTCCAAAACCTGGGGACACTAGAGCTGCTCAAAGAAACAGCTATGGCATTTTTTGTTAGCAAAGGTAAAACAATGCGCTTCTCCCTCACCTTGTTTTTGGCAAGGGCTGAACTGTTTCGCTTGAAATCATCCCCCAAAAATTCAGTGTGAGGCACATACCTGCCAAAATTTCAGCCCAAATAGCTATAGTTTAGCCAATTACATGCACCTTGAAAACAGGGACTTGTAATGAGCAATGTTGATCGGCCTTAATAGTAGATGGCACTAACATCTCCCAAAAGAGGCACAAAAAATGTTGTATCAGTAAATATAATTATACTAATTAAAATGTAATAACCATATTATAATAATTGCAAGTCATATTAAAATTACTCTGCTACTGCATAAGTCTTAAGATTGCATGGTCTGAATAAGATATTAAAAAAGTGTTATATTTACATATTTATTTAAAGGTACATCAATGAGATGTACATACAGTTTAGATTACGGTTTGTATGGGATAATTTGGACAGGGATGATCCTGCCTCGGGCAGGGGGTTGGACGGATGACTTCTGGAGGTCCCTTCCAGCCCCACGTCTCTACAATTCTATGATAATTCTGACTTTATATGCTGCCTGACTTTAAAAGAAATGTTGGGAACTGCATATTGAGACTACATGTCACATACAGAGCCTGTGTTCTGTTGTTGAGGGGAGAAGGCTGCTTAGCACTTAGACAATATTTTACATGTTTAAAGTAATGTTTCTACATTAGGGCCTGATTAAGCAAAGCATTTTATCCCATGCATGGTTTTAAGCACACAAGCAGTTTCCCAGAAATGAATGGGACTATGAAATACCTTCCTCCTTCTCTCTGTTTGCTGTGTTCACCTGTTGCGCATCCCCCTATGCAACAATGGCAAGCTCTGTAGGGCAGGGACTGACTTGTAATATTTGGATGGGTTTACACTTGCTCCCACGCCTGGGAGTAGTGCCACAGAGCATGTCTTGCCCGCCAACTCCCACGCAGGTCATGCCACACCTTGGAAACGAAGTGATTTAGCCTCCTCAGAGAGGACCTGAGGACAGACCAGTAAGCATGCGCAAAACAGAGCTGAAGAGCAGCGCTAGACCCAGGTTCAGCACCGCTCTAAGGCAGCTACATAGGTTCACTGGGTGCAATGGGAGCAAGCAGTTGGGGGATATTGGAGATCATGTGGATGCGCCTTTGTATGCAAGTTGTAGCCCTGAGCTTTCCAGGTGCTATTGCCATGCCATGAATAATAATACATGTATCTGCTGTCCACCAAAAAGAAGGTCAAGTGCACAGACCATTAGCACAATCATAAAGCCCCAGAGAGATGTTTGTTAAGCCCTCAGCCCATTTTTGCATACAACTGAGCATCTTCTTCGCTTTATCTCACTTCAACTCCCTGCCCACCACCCTCTCAAAACAAATGGCCCCTCTTTTTCCTTCCCCCGCAACACAAGGTGACTTGATACCCGAGGGAAAGGGAGAGATCCAAAGTTTAACACTGACAAAAGTGTCACAAGACGCCAGGAGCTGAGGTTTAAGTGAAACACCATCTATTGTAAGACTTAGTGATAAATCATGAGAATTGGTAATACTTAGGTTCTTACTCTTTTCTCTTCCTTCTCTTCTTCATGCCACAAAAAAATCATCCTCTCTGCTCAGAATCTGAGGCCTGGGAAAGTTTAATCAGTCTAGCAATCTAATCCCTTAGTGCTTTTTAATTACTAAAAAATGCACAAAAGTATATTGTGTAAATGAACAAATCAATAATGCCTAATGGCATGTGTCTGCCATTCGGTATGAATACAAATTATTTTCACCTCACTCTCCCCATTAGAGCTTGCCAGTTAAGATCATTTGGAGATTGTGGAAAAGTGATTTTAAAAAAGATTTTTCAAAGGAAACTGTCAGGTCAAATTTGACTCAGAATTAAATGTTTGTCAAAAAAAAAAATCCAAGAAATATTTCTACAGAAGGTAAAAAAGTTTTAAAGAAAACAGTTAAAAAAAACAAAAAACAAATAAAAAGTCATAAAGCTTCCCAGGCAGAGCTTGAAACTCAACCTTACTAGTTTTGCATTATGCAAGAGAAGACAAAGATTAAATCAAGTAGAAACTAAAGATATTGTGTTGTCAATGCCCTCATAGTGAGGATTGCATAAAATGAGCAAACAACAGATATTCTGGAAAGCAAGCTAGATTTTTTCCCCCCCCTCAAATTTTACACTCTTGGGCATGGCAGATTTGATGGATTCTAACACTTTAACCCATTTAAAAAAATAATGTTATTATTTTATAAGCAACTTAATACTTTGTAAATATTTTATTAGTTCTACCTTCCTTCCTCCTCCCCCCACCCACTTCCTTAGAGACACCTCCTATGCACAGCCACAGCCCTGAGCTGATTCGAAAGCTGTGTTGGCATGCTATTATATCATTACTGGTATCACTTAAAATTCCCAGCTGAGGTCAGGTCCTCAGTCTGCTACCCACTGTATATACACAGTGACAGGCAGAGTCTCTGACCTGAAAAAGTTTCCAGTCTAACTAGACAAGACAGACCAAATACAAAAGAACAGACGTATTATCATCATCTTACAAAGAGGGACGGGAGGCCTAGCTTTGCCACGAGAACTTCAGGGCATCCATGCCCAAACCTCCTCTCTGGCAGCAGAGACCTCCTTCCTGCTCACCCAGTTCCACCGTGTCTAGGAAGGTAAAACTAGAAAAGCGGGGTGAAGCTTTCGCTGCTATCTGGCAGCCAGCAGAAGGAGCACATAGACCAGAGATGTCAAGCTCTGCGGGCTGGATGAGTGGCATGGAGCTGGTCTGCGGCTGGATAGGCACCTCCCGCCATGCCCCCCGCCAGCTGCTCCACCAGTCTGGGACCAGCACTATGTGCAACGCGGGCCCCGGAGCAGGCAGAATGGGTGCCATGTACACGGTGCAGTCCCCTATCTGGGACCCGCACTGCATGCAGTACCCGTGAGCACTGGACACAGACTGGCTGGAGTGGGCGTCGTGCAGGACACGTGAGGCAGGCCGTGCAGTCTGGCTGGGGCAGCCGTGTGCAGCGTGCCTGCTGCTCCTACGGGACTATGCCACGCATGGCACCCATTACAACTGCTCCGGGATCCCCCCGGCGCAGCACAGGTCCCAGACCAGCTGGAGCAGCTGCCAGATCAGGCATGCTGCGGTGGGAGAGGAGAAAGCAGGGGAGCTGCAGGCCCAGTCCATCCCACTGACCGGCCCTGCACCAGGGGCACATGCCATGCCCAGAGTGGGTCTGATAAACCCAGGGGCAGCACCAGGGACCGGATGGCAGGCTGGAACCACCCTGCAGGCTGTATGTTTGACAACCCTGATGGAGACCATCTTATGCTTTCTGCTAGCTGCCGTTGTCCTTTCAGCAGCTGGTGCCTTCCCAGGGTGTACCTTGTGCTCTGGCAGTAGAGCGGTGAAGAGCCAGCAGGGGTGCATGGATATGGATGCATTTTGGTGGCATGGGGTGAGCAGCTGCTGTTTGCTCTCTGCCAACATCTGATGGCAAAAGTCACACAGGGAGTCAGTGGCAGCCAGGAATCCAGTCTAGGCTTCTTGACTCCATCAAGCCTCCAGGTAAGCATGCAGGCACAAAGCTGCAGGATCAGGGTCGCACACATTTACTCACAGTGGGAAGGACTTATTTCAAGGAAGATTAAACAGAGCTCAAGGTCTGACTCGGCTTTATTAAAAGACTGGATTGGATTTTGCACTTAAGCGGCAGTCTCTTTGCTATCCTCTTAAATACAATAATGCAACATATTAAATGAATTAATGGTGGAAAGCTTAAAGCAAAGCCGACTCAGACTTTAACAAGAAGAGATCAGCTGCACACAAGCTCATTGTTTGTGCTGCCCTCAGTCATGGACCTGTTTGCACATATCCATTCTCTTTTCTGACTGGATTTAGGCCTTGTCAACTCTACAACTATAGCGGAGCCAGGGGAACCATGTACTGTTAACATTTGCGGTTGA